GGATACTAGTTGCACCTTGTAGCAGTATCTGGAGGTGCAACCAGAGTGTAGCCAAGTGAATAGATAACAAAGTATGAGTTATGAGACTAGTCAATCATAAGGTCAACTATGAACAACCACTTCCCAGAAGCAGAGTTGAAAAGTTTATAATTTTGAACTTAATTTCACCTTAGAAACCATATGGAAGCTTAACACAAAGGTGGCCGTAGCTTTGTCTCAAATAACAGGCTACAACAAAACTATGATAAGATAGAACAAAAACCATCACATCAAAGTCAGGCAAGGAAACAAATTGTGATATTAGTATTAATGTGTCACCTTCGGGACAAAAGGGAAAGAAAAGGCTTTCAGTTGAATAGTGATGTAATCGAGCATCATGTTGACAAGGGGTGAATTGTGCTGAATCATTTACTTCAGCACGACCCAAGCTTAAGTTATCTGAGAAGAAGGAATCACAACTGAGAAAATGCTTCCAGGAGATTGGCCTGTGGCAAGTTGTGCGGCATTTCCTTAATCACTGATGATGTGGGACGGTCCAGCCCATTGTGAGTGTGCCATTCCTTGACAGATGGTCCTGGGATGGATAAGCAGGCTGAGTAAGCATGGAGAGAATGGTCTTAAGCAACATCCTTCCATGTTCTCTACCTCAGTTCCTGCCTCCAAATTCCTGTCTTAGTTCCTGCCCTGATGTCCCTCAGTGATGAGGTATAACCTGAGAGTTGTAAGCTGAAATAAACCCTTTCCTCCTCAAGTTGCTTTTGATCATGGCCATGGTCATGGTCATAGTCATGTTCATGGCATTTCATCACAGCAATAGAAATCCTACCTAATGCACTAATATTGGGCATATATAGGAATCTGTCTCCTACTACAAAGAGACTTTCTTATTAGTGTTCATTGCTGTTCTTTCACAATAGCCAGTAGAAATTAATATAGATGCCCATTGACTGATGAATGGATAACAAAAATGTGGTACATTAACATAATGGAATACTACTCAGCTGATAAAAATAATATTGTGAAACTCACAGGGAAATGGATGGAGCTTGAAGCACTCATCTTGAGTGAGGTAACTCAGTCCTAGAAAGACAAACACGGCATGTTTTCTCTGTGTGTATATGTTAGTTTTGAAAGTTTAGTTATAAGCATTTAGTTTGGAATACCCATAGAAATTAGCAATGTAGTAAAGGGTAATAAGGAGGGAAGTCTGTGGTATAAATGGTTAAAAACGAACAATGGGACAGGAAAGAATAAATGGGCAGGAGATGGGAGACAAGCATAAAGAAGAGGATATGAGGAAGGATACCAGAAACCTTTTGAAAAGATCATATTGAAACCTACTGCTGTAGAAGGTCCCTTACACCCTGGAGGTTGTGACTCAAATAATTAAGCTCCCTAGGAGCTTCTGACTCAAAGATTTTCTTGGCACATCTGCCCTGCACTTACCTGGGAGCAAGATAATCAGAACAAAGTAAACTTAAAATGGTAAACAATATTTGGTAGTCTAGAAAAGTTGGCAGCAGATTTAGGTGGTTTCCACTTACAGAGTTTCTCTCTCTCTCTCTCTCTCTCTCTCTCTCTCTCTCTCCCTCTTGGTTTTTCAAAATAAGATTTCTCTGTATAGCCCTGGCTGTCCCAGACTTGCTTTGTAGACCAGGCTGGCCTTGAACTCAAAGAGATTGCCTGCCTTTGCCTCCCAAGTGCTGGGATTAAAGGCATGTTCCCCTACTCTGGGCCTGTGCTCAGAGTTTCTCATAAGGCTGTGACCAGCAGTGGCTAGAAGTATGAAAAACCTTCCTCATTCCCATGTCTGGTGCCTGGGCAAGACAGACTCACCGGACTAGGTATTACCCCCATCCTCTTTCTCTACCTCCAGGCTGCCTCCCCGGATTATGTCTCAAATAGTGTCTCCCAACTACCTGAATGTCTCATATGGTGATGGCTGGCTCAGAACTGAATTTGCTAGAGGAGGAAACCAGTTAATGGATATTTTGCTTTTTTATAAATCTAGATTTCCCCAGCACGTCACAGCACTTCTGCCACTTTCTGCACACTCCCCCAGTCTCCGTCCTTTCCTCTTACACTTTCTCCATGGCCTTTTTCTCACTTCCACTTCCATCTTTAACTTCTCAAATTCTTATTGTTTCTTTACATAAATTAACGTCTTAAATCTGTTTTCTGTGCATTTTGCTTGTGGCAAGGGGAGGGGTGATAGAAGGGAAACTTCACCTTTTGCAACTAAAAGAGGCCCAGGGTGGCATGTAAGAGCATTTTTCCTTCCTTGTAACAATTAAAGAGCCATACACATTAGCTTTCAAAACTGAAAATTTTTTATTGGATGATTTAAATAAAAATCATATCTTATATATATATACATTTCTTAAATAGTATAACCATGAATAAGTAATTTTACCATCCAGAAATCTAGTTTATAAATTAAGGGTTGGATATGACCAAATAGGTAACAAGCATGTGTGAAAATGTCACAGTGAAGCCCATAATTAGTACAATTAATATACACTAACACAAAACCATGCAACGATAAGAGAGATTGTGATTTTAGTATATTTCTTTCACACTATGCATGTTCTTCAACATCATACTCGAATTAATTTATGTTGGGTTAATATAGTACACTTATTTTTAGTGGTAGTTTTCAAGAACACCAAGAGAATAAGGACCTGTGGTTGGAGAATGAGTCAGAGAAATGATGTGTTTACCTTGATTGCATCAAGGACAGAAAACAGAGAAATGGGTAGAATAGAACAGTCACTTCTTCTCTGTGGCTCCTTAGGTGACAGGAGCCTTAGTTTTAAGGGTTAATACTACATAGAAAGAAGAACTGATTCTCTCCTGACTGTAGGAAATTGTCACTGATTCCTATAAAATGATCCACAAAAAGTCTTAGCTGTTAGGTCTGTTGGAGAAAACAGACATATATGTCCTTGCAACACAAGGAAAGGAGATAGGGGTATCCCACCAGACAGCTAAAGAAAACAGCTTAAGCAACAAGACAAAGCAGAGACCAACCTAGGGGCCAAGGGGGCAAGGAGGACAAAGAGAGATCTGAACACAAATGGACTTGTTAGAATTTGCAGAACAGAAAAACCACATCCAGACTGAAGGAAGATGATACTGGTGTCTGGGAAGGACTCAGATTAAAAGAGAGCTGAGAATCTGTCTCTCCAGGGAACTCTCCCCTTCGGCCTCTTGTAAAGAGCAGCAAATTACCAAGACGTCTGAGATGCACCTGTGGCTTCAATAATCACTGAATAAGGTCTCTCACCTACCCACCCTAGTTGCCCCTCTCCAATAGATGATTTCAGAGAGTTGTGTTCCCATACAATTTAACCCCATTAGCCTAGCCAGCCATCAACCCTTAGATTAACCTTTGCCTTTATTATGTTTAGAAGTTAACTTGAGTTCAAATTGATTTCATGTTTCTGCCAATTGAGGTCAAGGCTCTTGCCACATTCTCACTTCCTCTCTGACCTTGAATGCCAACATTGCTTGGCACTTGGGATATAGCACTACTTTTATGCCTGTGTTTGTCATGTTAAACACCAGTTTAATCGGGGAACTTGCTTCCTAAGTGTGTGTGTGTATATACAGATATATACACATTAAATCCATTGTAAGATATAGAGATTAGAAAAATTATTAGAAACTAAGGTGGAAAAATAATAAATACTCTTCATGGCATGCTGAAAATCTGTTAGTATCATATTGAGTAATCAGTAGTTGTGGACAAAGTCTTTGAAAGTCTTGGAGATAACCAAAAGCATCAAAATATTAGTAGAGGGTCATACTTTCATCATGGAGATTAGACCTAGTCCATAAGAATCTGCATATACATATAAAGACCATAGTCATTTACAAGTCATCTTTCAGGTCCCAAATCAATTTACTGCAGACGAAGGATAATGAGGATATGGGTGAAGACCCGAAGACAGCTCAGCCCTCCTAAATCAAATATCAGCTTCTATTCTTAGCTTCCATCTAATCTATCAATGAATATGTGGTTTTATTTATTCCCAAAGATACAACTAAATATTCACATTTTTCCTGTCAGCCTGACCAAAAGAATTAACTTTGCCACAAGGGTTTCTAACACAAGGACAGACTCAAGATCTCTCTGCATTAGATACAAATTCGTCCTCCCAGGTTTATTCAAAAACAGCGGAAGGATAACGTTACCTTCTTACGGTGCTTTTATTACAGCTGATTCATGTCACTTGTCCCTACTCCAGGGCAAGGCAGTGGCTCAGACCCTCAGAATTCAAAGACCATCTCAAGAGGTGAGAAAGCTTGGGTGTTTTTCTAGGTACATAGGCCACATATCATGTGACAAAGATGGAGCTTTTACAGGTAAGAACAAGAGGTGAACCTAAAAATTCATTTCACCTTAAGTCAAATGTCAGTGAGAGGAAAAGGGAAAAGCAGAAACAATAACTCACATTAACATCAAACAATTGCTTTGAGGCATATAGAGCTCGAAAGGGAAAAGCTGAAGAAAAATAGAAGTGGGTTTCTTGGAAACCAGAGGTCACAAGAAGCAATTCTCCAGGCAAGCAGTCCTCAAAATGCCAGGGGTCCATACGTACCACTCAAGTCTTTCAAAGCTCACGCTTTCAAAGTGTGATTTCTACATAAATGCTCTACATCCAAAGAAGAGAAGGGCATTTCCATACAGCTGTAAGGCTCATGGACGCCCTGACCTCTTAGAGAGATTTTTGCTTCTCTGATAATAAAGTACCGTATCACTGTGGGGCCACACCCAGAGACCCCACTCCTCATACTGAGAGTTGTGCGAGCTCACATTCAACCACACGCCGGTCAGTCAGTCCCGGGTCACTAAAACCCTGAGGTCATCTCCAAGGACATTGCAGTGGGTGGAAAAGGTTGGCTTATTACCTTCAGGGCACACACAAGCAAGCCCTTCCTGTGCCCCGGGGAGAGCCAGTCCACAGTGAGCTCGGAAGAGCTTTGGGAATCGCACGTTAGTTTCTGAGGAAAGGGAAAAGCTTCCCGAGAGCTGCCTTGACCTCCTTGTTCCTCAAAGTATAGATGAGGGGGTTGAGTGTCGGGCTCAGCATGGTGTAGAGCACGCCAGCCAGCTTGCTCTTCTCGGCGCTGTAGCTGGAGACCGGGCTTATGTAGGCGTAGAAGACGGCGGTGTAATACATGCACACCACGATGAGGTGGGAGGAGCAGGTGGAGAAGGCTTTCCGCTTCCCTTCCGAAGTCCGCATCTTCAGGATGCTGGAGATGATAAAGCCGTAGGACACAATGGTCATCAGGAAGTTCAGTACGCCGTAAAAGGCGTCCGCCAAGACGATCATGACGCTGTTCACGTAGGTCGAGCTACAGGAGAGAAGCAGCAGGGGAGGCACCTCGCAGAAGAAATGGGTCACGACGTTGGGGCCGCAGAACTTCAAGCGAGTCATCAGTCCTGTGTGAACGGCCGTGTTGAAAGCACAGAGCGCCCACACCCCGGTAGCCAGCACGCTGCAAAAGGCTTTGCTCATCATGGTGCTGTAGTGCAGAGGGTGACAGATGGCTGCGTAACGGTCGTAGGCCATGACCGTGAGAAGGAGCAACTCCGAGGAAGCGGCCCATGTGAGGAAATAGAGCTGCGCCATGCAGCCGCCGTAGGAGATGGGGTTCCGCTCTGACACCAGACCCTTCAGGGCCTTGGGCATAATGGAGGAAGTACAGATGATGTCCATAGTAGCCAGATTGAACAAGAAAAAGTACATAGGGGTGTGGAGCCCAGGGTGGCAGGTGATGGCCAGGATGATAAGGACATTACCTGCGAGGGCCACGGAGTAGAGGGAGAGGAAGCAGATAAATAAGAACAGCTGGTACTGCGGGTGCTCAGAGAAGCCCTGAAGGATGAACTCTGTCACCAGTGTCTGGTTTCCCATCGTCCTTGACTGAGAAGGCTACCAGAGACCATTAGGCGATTATAAAGCCACGTTTTCATAAGATTTCAGGGCTAGAAAAAAAAAAAAATGAGGTGAAAGGTTTCCTAAGAAAGCTCAATGCATGTTTCTTTCATCCCTGACGATGTGACATGAATGAATGATAACATACATGATAAGGAACACCCCACTGCTACAGAAACAAGAACGGGAGCATTCAGTTCATAAAAGATAAGGGCAAGTCACCGATTAAGCTCACCAATTCTCGGTCAGCCTCAGGCAAAGAAATGTAAATTGAATCAAAGATTCACTCAGTCATCCATGACTTGATTAACTTAGGACATGAATCGGCGTAATATTCACATGACCTCTGGCCTCCACCTGCATCTGGACACAGGCACATCGGTAAATGGACATACAAGTGCACCAGAACACACACACACACACACACACACACACACACACACGCACACGCACACAAGTTCTCCATTTGAACATTTTCCTTGGGTAAATAATATTTAAAAAAAAAAATCTCAGAGCAAAACAATTTAAGACTGAAAATTCCAAGGCCACCTATGTTCTTTAAGTTGGGTTTATCATTGTAGATCAGTGTGTTGCTGGATACTTTCAGAGTGAAACACCGACAGCCTCTTACTGATACTTTCTAAATACAATGAAAAATGTAAAAATAAGTTGTACAATCATTAAGAGTCAAAGCACAAAAATTAGCAAAGGGCCATTGGTGTGCGTCTGGAGGCAAAACAACCTATGCATGATAGACCATGATTGGTTTTTATCTCAATGCTTTTGCTAATGATTTTGCTTCTGATTTTGCTGTATAGTGCCTTTTCTGAAAGGTTATAAGCAACTTCTAATAACTCAGTGACTCCCTCACTGCCAACAGAGGGAATAGTCCACACAATATTTCTGGAAGCTTCCTCCTCTGTAGACTCTTCCTACATGTCTTAACTCTCAAAGCCACAGCCACAGCAAAAGCCACAGTCGCAGCCATGACCACAGCCAGCTCTCTGCAAAAGCACTAGGTCACATCAGGGTTTGGGGGGGCAGTTCCTATAACCTCCTCAGCTAGGAGGTCCTCTCTCTCAAAAGCCAAATATGTCATCTGCTCCTCTTCTCAAACATCCCCTCCCCAGGAAGAAAGGAGCACTCCCTCTTTTATGAACCCTCAGAATTCTATCTGCCCTTATCCTAAAACCCAATGCAGGTGCTGTTGGCCTAGTTATAAAGCTGTCCAAGTACCCAAGTGTAGTTTTTGCCCAAGTGCTATGCCTGACATACATTCTGGGCCTTAATTTCAGTGTCTTCCTGGGACCTGAGCATCAAGACACCCCAATCATTTGGATGGATAGAATAAGCACAATCTTCTTGTTTCACTGATTTCATTTTTGTTTGAGAGCAAAGACCAAATGGCATTTTTTTTTAATGTATGATTTGGATCAAGAAAAATAAATGTGACGTTATGTGCTCCTCACCACAGCCCTGAGGGTGAGCTGTTCATTGGCAAGGGAGACAGAGAAGCTGCAGGTGAGAAACTGAGTCAGGATGAAAAGGAGCAGTGCTGGCTCTGATGTTCTAGTGCCAGGTGTCTGCGCTCTCCACTAGAATGTTACACAGTGACTTCCCAGCCATTGTGTTTCCTCTACGGCGTTCACTACGGACTAACCAGAGTGTGTCGCCATGGCTACATCTGGAGGAGACAAACGCCTCCATTCCCTACACTGCACATGAAGAACAGTAGAGCACCTGTCACACATGTTATGGAGCACCAAGGAAACCCACCACCCAGTAAAGTTTGATCCTGATTATTTTTCCTCAGGTCCAGAGTGAAGGCAGAACTAACCAAGCCTCCGACATGAATGAAGGACCTTTACAGAGAAAGAGAAGTTTCAACAAACCCCTTTCGACTAGAAGAGCAGGTTCCCTTGCAGAAAACTACCCACGTCGTGTGATGGCTTTCAGGCAAGGTGGGCAGTCTCCTTGTCCAGCTACATGACAGGGAGGCAAGGAATCAGGAAGCCAAGAGTGTCCATGAGCATGACCATAGGATCGCCCTCACCGGTCTCCTCTTCCCCTGAAAGGCACAACGCTGACCCTCCTCTGAGATTCTAGGGCGTTGGCTTCAGTTCTCACCAAGCCTCAGAATTATCACACAGGATATGGACGGAAAGAGCAAGATGTCAGATATCAGCTAACCCTTAAAGTCCTGCTGCATTTAGACATCACACAGAGGTTATCTTAGCCACATTCCAGATCCTCTAGCGGTTAAGCCTCCTGGAAAACAAACATCCATTGCAGGTCTCATCACTTCAGAAACATGACTGCACTCAAAATCCCTGCAGTTAAAATTTTAATTTTATTTTCTCCTGAGGGTGTTGAATTTTACATGGTACACAATTTATTTTTAGCAAAATGTTATTTTAGTTCCAGTTCATGGTTCATCATTTCACAAATAAAATATTACTGTCTTAAGGTAATTGGGAATGACGAATTTTCTGATCCTCATTTTTAAATCTCTGTAGGGACTCAGGGTTTTCAGAAACACTATATAACCTACCCAATGCACTTTATTATCTGTGAAGGTGCAGCGTCAACTTTGAATGTATTTCAAGAGCGGAAAACTGAAAATCAGAACGTGCTAAAATTTCAAGTATCCAGCTTTAAATCAAAATGACTTTGTCCAGCCTGTCTATTAAAGTCACTCTAAATTACTTGCCCTAATCACGGACCTTTAGTGGACAAGGCTAGCATTCCGTCTCAAGCCTTTGGATTCCAGCCAAGAATTCTTTGTTGTGTGACATAGCCTACACACTTGCCTAGCAAATGTTAAAGGAGGGTCAAGAAAAGGGATCACCCATCAACAGCTGGCATGGGTACTTTTATGGCTGTGATGTGGCATGCAGACCTTAAACTCTTAGCCACACTTAGCATCTCGTTCTCAACATTGTCACATTCATGGATCAAACAGTAATAATGCGCAGTAATTATAGCTAGGACCATGTTATTGGTATTATGTAACTAAACACACTTAGCTAAATAAGCACAAGTTGTTTTTATGCCGTTAATTAATATTGAGCAGGCAGTTACAAATCAAACTTTCCCCTCTGTTTCATGTCACCCCCCATGGAACAAACAAGTCTAGAAATACTCATAGTTACCTTGATAAAACTTCAGTCTTGTGCAGCTAGTGTGATGTACATATGACTTTCTGTCAACCACAGACAAAGTTGGGAACATGGTGGAAATGAGTTCCTGTAGACAGACGAAGCTTTTTGTTCCCCTAGTTAAGTTCATGTTGCCAAGAGTTTTAGGCTCATCTTCAGTAGAATTTGTCCCTGTCCTTGGGAAACACTTGGGAGGGATGTTAACAGCCCTTCCTTTAAATGGACCCAGAAGGAGCAATTAAATTAAATCCCTCTTTGCTGGGGATTTGGCTGTCATTGGTGGACACATACATACCATGTTGGGCTTCAAGCCAAATGTCTGGAACAGAGTATAAGTCCCCAGAGGGAGAGGTCAGGCCATCGCCACTGTTTCAGCTCAGAAGACTGAGGTCAGGGAAGACCCAAGTTTAGTTACTCAGAATAACACATTCACACCTAATGATGCGATGGTTTGTTTTCTCAATCTGAATATATTTGTTCAATATAATGATGGTCAGTTGTAATCATTTTTCCTGAAAATTGAATAATTTCATTCCTCTTGATGACTGAATCAAACATTATTGCCTATATATGTCACATTTTTTTATCCATTTATCTGTTGATAGAAACCTAGACTTACTAACTTAGCTCCTGTGACCAGTGCAGCCATAAACATGATTGTATACTTGTGCAGTACATTGACCTATAGTCCTTCAACAGTATACCCAGGCATGTTATGGATGGTTCATAGGATAGAGTTTATTAAGGGACTTCTACACTAATTCCCATCATCTTTGGATTAATATATATTCCCATCAATAATGCCTGAGGCTTCTCTGTTTCCTGTCTGTGTCTTCTCCTGTACTTGTTGCTATTTATGCTTTTAATGGTGGCCATTCTGACTACAGTGAGATTGAAGATGAATGTAGCTTTGATTTGTATTTCTCTGATGGCTAAGAAAATCTAATATTTTTCATATTTATTGGTCCCTTGTATCTTATCTTTTCAGAAATGATTGGTCATTAGACCACTTATTTATTGAATTGTTTGGTTTTGTAGTATTTAGAATTTTGAGTCTTCTATATTTCCTAGATATTAATTTGCTATCAGAGATGCAGTTAAGAAAATATTTTCTTCCATTGCACAGGCTATCTCTTCTTATTGTTTTCTTTGCCATTCAGTTGTTGTTGTTTTGTTTGTTTGTTTGTTTTTAATTTCATGGAAGTCCTACGTGTCAGTTCTTTATGTCCTGAGCTATACTGCTGTCCTTTCCTACATGACCTTGCCTGTGCCTGTATCTTCCAGTTTTCCACCAATAGCTTCAGAATTTTAGGTACATAAGATGTTTTTTTTTGACATATGCAAATGTTTATTGTCTCACAAAATGTGTAGCTGTTTATACCAAGATCTTTGATAAGGGGGTGGAAGAAAGTGTGTATGAAAAAGAGAAGACAGCAAAGGCAGTGGTTAGAGTCCCTGGACAGGAGCAAAACTTGGGAGACTGTGGCATACACAGATCACATGGGCTCTATTGCCCCTTCCTTCTATGACCCTTTCCCTACTCCTGTGCTTCCTTTTGCTAGCTTCCTGACCTCCACAAGCATTCCAGGTTAAACTCACAGGTATAAAATTCCAAAGCATTAAGATAACTGATATATTTTCAATTGCTCGTGACCAGGATGAGAGAATAGGGTTCTACTTTCATAATTCTACATGTAGATATCTAGTTTTCCCAGCACCATTTGTTGAAAAGTCTTTTCTCCAACATGTTTTGACACCTTTGTCAAGAGTCCATTGGCTTCCTGGGCAAGGTGCTATGTACCTGTAATCAAAGCACTCAGG